AGATTTGTTTGCCTTTCCAATGCCTTATATAGATCCACGATGGTGCTGTCTCCTATTATAAGAATTTTACGTTGTTCGTTAGACTTTTCTGTGTCAGTATCCTTAAGTCCTTTTTGATCTTCCACTGTGTTTTCGAGTAAATTACATTGCGTAGATACATAGGATACTGATGGACTCGGATCTTTGATGTTCACTACTGAATTCTGTAGTAGAAACAATTGTTGTTGGCTCTTTTTATAATCCCTCACATATATTTCGTTATCCTGAGTTAGTGTTCTTATTGTTTGTAACATATCGTTCCTCACGCTAGACAAATTATCCAATTCATTCTCCAGGTCTCTAACCCCCCCTTTATATTCTTCGGCACTAGCAAGTAAATCCTGAATTTGTTCTGTCAGGCCTAAATTTTCCTTTTTTAGATTATAGATCGTAGTTTTATGATCTTCTAGCTCTGAACTTTGTTGTTTGATTTCCCTTTGCAAATTTTCCTCGACGGCAAAAACCTCATCTTCAAAATCAACGGTAGCTCTTAATTTTCTCCTTAGACAACTTTCCATCTCTGCCCTTTCCTGTCTTAAAATCTCAGCTTCATCCTTTAAAGAATGTATTTCTGATTCCTTCTCGCTGATTTCCCTGTCCATCAACTCCATTCTTACTTTCAAGTCTTTATTCTCCCTACTCGCAGTTTCCAGTTGTTTATGTATCGCTCCAGTTTTCTCCTGCGCGCACTCCGAGCAGAAGTAAGGAATTTTTCTTGATACCTTTTGGATGAACCTTATCTCAGTTGCACCCCATTTTTCGCATTTCTTGCATGAGATCGTCTTGCAGCCATCGCATGGGTAGCCAAATAGTTCTTCAGTGCCTTCAGACTTCTCGGCTTTCACTCTAAATATGCAATTGGACAGGCATTTGCTGCATATTCCATTCGATGGCAACTTCTGCGACATGTTTTGTAATATACTACTACCCTAAGGGGAAAGCAAAAATCCAAGAGGGCCAACCAGGAAAACGAAGAAAAATTCCAGACAATAAGTCAAGTCCAAAACACCCAGATGTAAACATAAACATTTGCCAGTTTAACCAAAATAAAAATAAAAAAAAAAACTATGAGCTGGAGGAACAACAATAAACAAACAAAAAAATCATATTTATCGAATTAAATGTTCAAGAATCATAAAAAGAATTTATTGTTGACTTTAAAAGATAACAGGCGGTGAGCTTATCTTTTTTTGAGGCTTTTTATGCAAAACTGATTTTGGTAAATATTGTAATTAAGCACTGTTTGCGTTGGCCACTTTTCACAAAAATAACATCACAGATTAACGATAATGTAACGAACACTTCAGGAAAATTTCAAGTTTTTCACTGTACTATAACCGCTGAAATCTTAGTTTTATCGCGGAGCACATAAATACGTGCATACTTGTTGGAAACGGTTCCTCTTTTTCCATCATTTCAATCAGTTTTGTAAAAATGGCGAAAAACACAATTTTTTCAACTCTCTATGGGTCTGTTCTCACAAGAGTCTCTGACAGTTTGCAAACTGTCAGAATGCATCGCCCATGCATGTTTGCAATGCCGTCATTCCAAGATAACTCAGTAACTTAGCTGAGCGATTGTTACTGACAGTTTGCAAATTGTCAGGGACTTTTGTGAGAACAGACCTTATGAGAAGTCAAAAATTCTAGAATATTGCCAGCAAGGCAATAGCATATATTCGCGCTAATGACACAGAAAGCCTAAGAAACTTTAAGACAAAGTAGGTAGCCATCCAATGCTCAGGTAGAACCATTTAGTTATTATTATATCGGAGTAGTTGTTTCTGACTGGTCAACGAAAGTCAACGAAGTTCAATTTTGATTGGACAGGGAGCTTCAGCCTATGTCCTTCTGATGAGTCCTAACCAGGACGAAACGCGTCAAGGATTGGCACGGGAAGCCTGAGTCCACTGCTCAGTGGGCCGATTCCCAAACAGGGACCGAAGTGTCCCTGTATTCACGTTGGTCATTACCTGTAAAAATCTTTCTAACAATTTCTATTGCCAACGAAAGCTCAGACCAATCAGTGTAGTTCAACGCCGGTAGGGGTATTTGCCCTCGGAGTAGTTGTTTCTGACTGGTCAACGAAGTTCAGAACCATTTAGACAAAAATTACATCTCACTTTAATCAATAAACTGGGAAAATTTACTTAATGGATTTTGCAAGTACCTATGGTATTAATTTTTCTTGAATTTTAAGTTTCGAGACCATTGCTGACAATATTTTGCATTTTTAGGTAGACCTGCGATGGTGTGAACGTCTCGATAATATGAACACGTCCGGTTTTTTTGTGTTCACACTAGCGCGAGTCTACTGTACTTTGAAAAATTGGCTGACATTTTCATTATATTCAACACTGAACCGATGGTAGAGTTTCAAGTTCCAACCTTCAGTTGAATCCTATCAATTTGCATGGAGTCAACCGAAGGTTGAAACTCAATCATCGATTCAGTGCTTTATAATACCGGCCATTGGAAAATTACCTTAACAAATGATATGGACAGTGAATTTGTTGCGGAAAAAAATACCATCATTTTTAACAAATATCGATATCAAATAAGTACGTTAAAATGCTCAAAAAGGGGCGTGGCACCGAAAAAAATTAGCCTGCGGCGCTAATGGAAATGGTCTTATTATAATACTGCCCCCCCCCCCCTGTGAAACCTCGTAACGACGCCCATGAAACAAGGAATGCATTGCGTTCTTAATTTCAACCTAATTTTTTAACAATTGAAGTTATATCAACTTTCTTTTTTGCATTCGATTTATAATATAAGGACGAATGGCGCTACCTTTTTAGAAATCTGATAATAGAAACAAGTTCTCGAAAAATTACAATAATGTAATTTGAACTGGAAAAAAAACAAGAAAGTTAATCAATTATGGTGTTTTTTTTTTAAATTAGCGCCATTCTTATGTGTGTTAGCAATACAATGGCGCAAACCAGAATTCCAAAAATTATCTAGTTTTTTTTGTAGAAATCTAATTAATTCTTCATTTTGTCTATCTCTGTTATGCCCGCAGCAAACCCCCCGGCTCTTTCCTCCGCTTGTTTTTCTATACATTTTAAATTGCCGTGTGGAACGATCTAGCGCCGACGGGCTCAACAGTAGCCCAATGCAATGATCGCGTCTTTATTAGTATCAACTTGTTGGGTATTTGTATAGTTCGAGGTGCGTTACAATATGTTTTAAACGCGCATTCAATCCCCTAAATATTATTATCCCTGCCTTTTGAGTTGACAGAGAATATAATTACCTTTTATAATTTGATTGTACTGCTTATGATTGAATAAATTGAAATTGCATAAAATTGAAACTACAAATTTTGTTTTTTGAAGGAGTATAAATAAATAAATAAATAATTTTTTGCTACGAGCAAGCACTGGCTTTTGAAAAGTCGTTTGCTCTGCTGCAGGGCGGAAACTTTTTTCATATCAAATTCGAAAAAAAATAGTTATTTTTCTAACACGTGCGGGAAATACCATTTCTCGTAAGCGTTAGGAACACAATTTCTCCTAAGGGTGTGCGGAAAAAGTGCTCTATGTGCATGCCAAAAGTTTTTTTGAGATTATCGTTTTTAATCCGGAATACTTAGGAACCTGATAGGACTGCTTATTGAGATCAAAATAGTTGTATTCCTTTCAAGAGTTTAGAACACTAGAGCTACTCGCCCCGGTGTTAGTCGACCCCGATTTGAACGGAACAGATGCGGTGGCTTTCATGCATTTAAACGGTTTGAGTAGGGCTTGAGCACTTTAGGTGCAACAAACACTTTTCGAAAGGAATAAGCGCGTATCGCCCTGAAGCTTACTACAAATTTTGGTTAAGGATGTTCTAAAACTATGTTGTATCAAGTTTTGTTGTTCTCAAGGCCTCAAAATAGGAAATTTTTCCGGTTTGGTTCATTAAATTTTGAAAATTTGTTTTGATCACCCTGTATCCTATTGGAACAAAAATTCGTACATTAGGGTTTAGGACCATTCTAAACAAGAATCTGCTATCAGATTTTTTCTACAAAAATCCCTAATAGTACTTATTGAAATTTGAGCCTATAAATGTGGACACCCTGTAAACCAGTGCAGCCGTAGAAATAAAATTATGAGCCTAATAAGTGACAAATTCGAGTAGCTACAAGACAAAAAAAAATGAATTGAATCGGTTGAAAAATAAAAATTTTAGAAGGGTGGTCAGTCCTTAAGCGGGACACACTGTAAAGGTCATTGTTAATATAATATACGCCGGGGCTCGTGTTTTTTGGATAATTTTGAAGTTTGCAAAATACCCGATTTTACCTTCTTCAATATTTTACCCACAAGCAATACCAAAATACCCGAATTTCGGGACGGTAAAATACGCGCAAACGGCAACACTGTTACGCAAAGGGGCAAATCCTATTTTCTTTTATTTTGATTTTTTTTCGTTTTGGATCAAGTGTGGATGAACTATAGAAAATAAGGATTTTTCTTCTTATTTTGATTTATTTTTTATTTTATTTGTTGGATAAACTCACCATATGCGCTGTATAAAAACTCGTTTTTGGAATGAATAATTGTGCATTATAGCATTGATTTTATAGATACACTATCAGCTTAAACTGGCCTATCTGACCATATTTTCAGAAAAAAAAACATGGAAAAACACAATAAGTTCGTATAGTAAATAAATAAGTATGCCTGGGGTATTTTCAGGTTATTTGTTTAGTATGCAGTCGATCAATAAAAAACGAGATAAAAAACCATAAGAAAATTAATCAATAAAAATTTCATTTCCCAAGCCATAATTTGTTTTAAACAGTATCTAATAGTTAAGTAGTTTTTTTCTAATAAAATAGGGATAATGCCATTATAGCATTAAGTTAGGATTCGCAAATGATGCAAGCAAGATGCAACTTAAATTTTACAAAAATATTGAATACATCATTTTGATTGCAGCTGGCACTATTAATTCTGTATCACTTACCAGCAAAAACACCCCAATAATAGGTGATAACTAATGATGAACGGCTTGCAAGAAATGCAAAAAGCTCAGGAGCTTGGATCTTGGATCTGACTTCAAATTAGGGTCTGTCTGCACAAAACCCAAGAGATGACCACCCCACCACAGCCGACAGCCAATACAGCTGACTCTGACAGCACGGAGAATAGCGCGTTCGGCTTGTCGTTACACCGCTCGGATTAATCCTAATCGTTCGTTTTTGACCGCGTTTGGGTTCACGCTCGGTGCACTAGAGCTTGCACTTTTGTCTCTCTTCTGTTATTTTTGAAGCTCCGACAACGCTTGCTTGTGTTTGGTTTAAAATATTTGAGCCACGAGAAAACACCTAGAAAAATCTGGTGGAATGCGGAATACGGACTCGGAGTCCAAAAAACATACCCTAAAAAAAATAAACAATACGCAGCTGATCGCTCAGTTCAACCCAGCACTTTTGCAGGAGTTTATCCGACTTGACACGGAGTACTCCCGATGACGTCACGTTAATCCGTAATCGCTCTGCTCGTTCAGTCGAGCGTCAACGCAAACACGCCCTAGACCAAGGTTCCTGAAGTTAAAAGGTTGCCTCTGGTAATGGATAATTTGATGACACATCTGGGCTACCTTATGGAGATTTGCATTATGTTGAGGCACCCCAGATGATGTCATAAAATTATCAGGCAACCTATTTCTCTCAAACAACCTTGGCCCTAGACATCTGGATGTAGGGAGGGGAAATAAATCTCAAGTGTTCGACAACAAAATCGGAGTGATCGGACGAAGATCTTTTTGATCAAAGAATTTTCACGTAGCTAAAGCGATAAATCTTGATTTGTGAGGTTACATTAAATGGTGTTTTGGTTTATGCCTGTTGCGGTTTGGTTCTTGTGTTGTGGTTTGTTATATTTTTCATATCGTTATAAATATTTTATTTGAACGAATTGAATGAACCAGCGCCGCCATTTTTTGCCCAACCTATTGCTACTTTTAAATATGAATATATAGGATTTAAATCGACATCCATCATAAAAAAATTTAAAAAAAGTATCCGACAATGAACTATAACCAAAAACTGGAATGCTAACACATAAGGACGAACGTGAAGCCTAGTGCGGCTGCTGCGGAGGGGATACCTGTTTTTGTCGCACTCATTATGTTAAATGGCGAAAATTGCTTCTAACACGTATTCCAATTGATGAAACCTGTGAAGGGAAATATGACAAAACTTTCGAAAACGTCATATGTCAGCGAGCAACAGAGAAAAACAACATTCCCCTTTGTGGCATCTGTCTTTTATGGCTACATTTTTTTGGCAGATATGGCACTGTGTGCGCATTTTAGCTCTAGTTCATTGGTATCCGATGACTATAATTTGGCACATCAAATACGTTGTTTTCAATTTTTTATGATAGATGTCCAGTCCATTTAAATCCTATATATTCATATTTAAAAGTAGCAAGAGGTTAGGCACAAAATGGCCGCAGGACCTCCATTGTCGCCACTAGATGTATTCCTTTCACACCTAGGAGGAGCTCCGGAACAGCTCCGGGGCTTTACGCGCTTATTCTTTCAAAAAGTGTTTGTTGCACCTGAGCGCTCAAGCCCGAATCAAACTATTTAAATGCATGAAAACCAGCGCATCTGTTCCTTTCAATTCGGGGTCGACTAACACCGGAGCGAGTAGCCCTAGTGTTTTAAACTCTTGAGTCTCTTGAAAGGAATACAACTATTGTATGTAAAGGTTTATTCCAAGAATTTTTACTCCACTGATAGGCCTAGTACTCAAAACAGCGAAATTCGCTCTTTTGACATTGCTTCGACAATTTGACGTTTTATGCGTAAATCAAACGTCAAATTGTCGAAGCAATGTCAAAAAAGAGCGAATTTCGCAGTTGATTAGCTTAAGAGCCGTTTTACACGGCAAAGTTTCTTTACGAAATTACTTCCGAAATTGTTGCCGAAATATTTCGTAAGTCAACTTTTCCTGTTTTAAACGACAAGAGAAACTTACGAAATATTTCGCCAATAAACAGGGCCGCCGCTACCATGTGTGGTGTGCAAAGTGTGCACAGGGCCGGCCCTACCATAAGGCGAACGGAGCGAGCGCTCCAGGCGCCAGACCTCGGGGGCGCCTCCGATTCGTTCCTTGGTGATAAAAAAAAAGAGAAAAATATATTTTTGCTGTGAATCCTGTCTTCGCTTTTCGATATTCTGCTATCTGAGCCGCTTTCCAGTATGGAAATGTGACGCTCGGAGCTACTCGGAGCGTTGAGCTATACGTACGGACAAACGTCACACGTCATGACGGTGTGACATGTGAAATCTAGTGTGTGGCGTTCCCGGGGTGCTCTAAAGCGCGCCAATGTGCATACTGGAAAGCAGTTCTGCGATTCTGCTTGCGAGCAAGCGTGTAGTTAGTATGTGAATCCCACTTGAATAACCTGTTGCGACGTTGTTTTATGACGCGCAGAAGTCGTGTGCGTGGCGTCGCCCCTACATGATCAATGATCATAATCACAATATTTCGGGATTAGAACTTTTAAGGCCCGGTTTATTGATGTTCAAGAAGAATTTGCTGTTAACTGTCTACAAGATAAATTCACCGATCTATTTCTATTGGTCGATGGATAACGCGGACCAACAGGATTGCAGATTGCGTTTTTGTTCGTCAGATTGCACTACCTGACAGTTTATAAAAGAATGAATAAACCGGCCCTGAAAAAAAAAAAAAATCTGTGGTTGAAGAACCTCTCAGTACTCCAGAACTTAGCATTGAATAATTGGCAATATACGTTTCCTAATATCTAGACAGCTCTCGACTCGAGCTCTCCCTATTTTTGTAGCCATTCTTGTGGCGAAAGGGTGAACGTAGCTTACCACTTAAACTTAACATAACTAAAACATACCTTAAGTCAATTCTAGCAGAAAACATACTTTCTGATCTAGCCCTGCTGTCCATTGAAACTCATATAGCACAGAATTGTTATATGAGAGGATTATGAACAAATTTGCAAATGCAAAAATGAGCAAACAGCGACTCACCTACAATTTTGTATTTTGCTGGTTCGATTTTTATATTTATAAGAGCCGGTTTATTCACCTTCTAACAAACTGTCAGAGTCAGGTACCTAATGCAATCTGACGGACAAAAACTGTATCTGCAATTCCATTAGTCGGCTAGTTATTTGCCGACCAATAGATTATAGGTTGATATCTATCTTGGAGATAGTTAAGAGCAAGTTTATGTGAAGATGAATAAATCGTGCCTGAGTGTTGATAAGTGATATTACCGTAGAAATTTCCATTATTTGTGTGTCTACTTTAAATCAACTCTTAAAAGAAAAAGAGTAGGTATAGACGGTATAGTTAGAACCAACTAAGAAGAGCCCCTGACGTCATCACTGAAGAAGAAGGCAAATTTTTTAGAGGCCCTCCCATTTGAAGTGAGACAAAAGATCACGTGGTGGCTTCTTCTTATTTGGTTTTATCGATACCATTGATACCAATGAACATGGATGTTTTCAAATTTCAATTGATGAGATAGTTAGAGACATCTAGGTATAACAATGGCCAAAATCCATATGCAAAAGATTCACATTTTAATTAGGGGCGCCGAGAGGGGCGCCAAAGTCGGATCTCGCTCCATCCTGAAAGTAGGCTCGGGCCGGCACTGAGTGTGCACCGCAAACAGTGGCGTAGCCAAACCAAACGTGGCCGTCGGCGACATCCGAATTGCGAGGCCCTTTTTATGTAGGGTGGCAGTGGCGGATCAATGAGGGGGGAGGGGAATGGGGGTAATTGTCCCCCCAGAGAAGCCCAAGAAAATTTTAATTATTAAAAAAAACACACACCAATTATTTTTTTGGATTTTGGAGGCCTAAAATACGTTTTGAGCGTGGCACCCGAAAAAAATGTCTGCTTCCAGCCGGTAGGCATCGCCTACTGGGTCCTATCCTAGTTTGGGTGTGAACCCGTTTAGGTATAGATTACGAGCCGCCACTGGTTGGGAAGCTCTACATTCCCCCCCCCCCCCCAGAATGGTGCTATAGATCCGCCACTCAGGGTTGTTACAAGCTACACAATTGTGTAGTTTGCTACACAATTGGACTATCGATTACACAGGTGCACCCCAATGATCAATTTCGTCTGTTTGCTTTTTAATAAACTGCACAGAAATGCTACACAATGGATAAATCACCTATTCCGTAACTCAAAATTCTTGAAAAAATAGCAGTGTATTTAGCCACTTCCGAGAAAGTGGCAAAATATGTCGCAAGCATCCAGAACTATTACCTTAACCTCAAAGTACAGATTCGGAGGCCATTTTGACTTTTATTAAAAAAAAAAAACGGCCCGGGTTCCGGAACCCACGATTCGATAGTAGTATCGTCTATCTATTTTTATATAGACGATACTATCGAATCGTGAGTTCGGAATCCAGGGCCAGACTTTATCTTTGGCTGTGGCTACAGTGGCTAAATAATCCTTTACATATAGTGGCGACAATAGAGGTTCCGCCGCCATCTTGTTCCCAACCTCTTGTTACTTTTAAATATTAATATATAGGATTTAAATGGACATCTATCATAAAGAAATGAAATTGACGTATTTGATGACCATTATTAGGTCCATCAAATACGTTGTTTTCCATGATTTATGATGGATGTTCACCTAAATCCCATATATTCGTATTTAAAAGTAATAAGAGGTTGGGAACAAGATTGCGGCGTTTTCATTATAAATCTATGGGATATTAGAACCAATCAAAAATAAGACAGCAATTTTTTGAGAGTTACGCCCCTTTTTCGGGCCTATCAACGGTATTCGATAACAATATTTAGTCAAAAATATCAATATTTTTCTAACAAAAATTTTGGTAGAAATCAGGCAATTTTTTAGGAAACCTAAATAATTTCCGAATCTCTGTTATGTTATGTTTGCAGGTTTGCTGAACAAAATCAAAAGCTGGACGAACTTTCAAATTGCTGTAGAATGTACAATACAGCGAAATACTGCACGAATTCTATGATATTGAAAGAAGTTTCGTATAGGATTAAGTTTATTCTATGTTTCATTTTGAGAAATTGAAAGGTGCCAATTTTCAGGTTCG